GTTAAGTGATTTTAGGCCAAGTTTCTATTGTTATTTTACTGTATTAAATACAGAAGTCATTATTTTTGTTTGCTGTTGTATAAACCAAATTTTATTAACCAAGTTATGACAGGTAAATTAGCTATAATAATCTACTAAATGAGTGATAACAATAATAGATTCAAATCGGGTTTTTGGTGTATTATTAATAGCAAAGTCTATGGATGTGTAAGACTTACAAATAAAAATAATGACTTCTGTATTTAATACAGTAAAATAACAATAGAAACTTTGCCTAAAATCACTTAACTTTAACAAGCTAACAAATATTTTTTCTCTTTATAAAAATTAAAAACTCTCAATAGTTTCTAAGAAAATGTGTGTCTTATCAGATTTTGATCACTTTGTATATATATATTAAAATTTGTAATCGGTGACATAAAAGCATGTCCTTCATTCATTTTCTTTTAAATATTTATGGTATACATTTATTTTTAATTGTCTAAAATAATTATATATATATCGGATTCTTTTAAAAGGATCTTACTATGACAGGAATCCTAAAAACATCAGTATATTTAGTACTAAATATTAACAATTAATAAAATATTAACGTTACCAATATTATAAAAAGTTATTCTGGGTGCCATTTTTCAACTGAGTCTCATTTTTCAATTTTTTTTATAAAACAAAGTAGAAAAAAAAATAAAGAGCAATCGGAACTTCAACGGAACTTGTATCAAAATTATTTACTTTATTTTTTCGTTTTGACAGTTCAACACAATATTATTTATAACAATTAACAATATTATAACGTTATACTTTTTTCTGAATTCAAACGTTATTGTTACTTTATGTATTTTTTGCATTTTGTGATATTTAAACGTTTATTATAACATTTTTACCCTATTAATAAATTAACCTGTCATTATTGCTCGCACTTGATAATTTTCCTCATTTGGTTATTATGTTGAGAAATACTGGCCCCCTCTTCTTATATTTTCACCAAATTTATTATACCTAATAAGTTACAACAAATCATCAGTATAATTTCGTTTTGTGAGTCATTCGCGTCATTATACATTTTTCGTTAAAAATTACACGTTTTAAAATAACGATTCCATTCGTTATTTAGTAGAACTAAATAACGATTCCATTCGTTATTTAGTAGAACTAAATCATTCCGGAGGATTGTACTCAGGGTCCAATTTAGACCAGCCTCCCCCCACGTATTAGCATACCACAACCAAAAGACTGTCATTTTGTTTTTATATTTACTTATTAATATTATAAATAATATGTATAATATGATTGTATGATATTTTTTGTTAAATGAATTGAATATAGAAAAACATTTCAAATTTAAAATAATATCTTATTAAAAGAGCTAAAATATATATTTTCAATGACTTAGTTTTTTAAATTGTGTATATTTTATCTATTCTATATGGGGAGAGTCCATTGTTAACGACTATATCTTGTAGAACTGACACACACTGGAATATACTTAATATTATTATTACTTTAATATTTTAGTTTTACAATAATAATAAGGAATAATTATTTATGAAAGATTTATTAGTAATACTTCAATTTTATTAATATAAATAAAAACATTTTATCATTAACAAACAATTGAATACACCTACTACTTTACTTAGTCTACTAATAAACTTATAAATTTCGGCGACAATATGGTCAGATTTAAAATTATCGTTTTGGAAATTAATCAATAGCTATATATATATCGTGTACAATAAGTGTTTATAAGCACAATACCATAGTATAAATCAATTAGGGCTAGGAGAGGCTTAGCGCCCGCCCCCTAAAATTACTCTAGGTTTTCCACTATACAATAGATTAAACCTATTTTGTTTTTATTTTTTTTTGCAGTTTTACTTTTATAAAGTATCCTATTTTTTTAGGAACTATATAGTATTTGTAAAGATTTGTTGAAGTCAGAAATTATGGTTATCAAAAATTCTTTAAAAGGACACATCAATTTAGAAATCGTGCAAAACCATTTAAACTAATTGAATGGTCTACATGTTCTTCCTAATATTGTGTATTATTCAATTTAGCAATAACTTTCCCAATTAGTTCTGCCACACGTGAAGGTCATTTTCTGCTATGAGAACATTGAAAACATAGCTTCGGTTAACTATGTTCAAAGAAAGATTCAGTAGTATAGGGATATTCAATATTGAAAAAGATATAGAAATTAAAGTAACGTCTGTTTTAAATACTTTTGCGTTGTTTAATAGACGAATAAATTTAACATTGTTAAAACTAATAATTTAGTTAAAATATTACACATATTAAATTATAAATACAGTATATAAATACTTTATTGTTTATGTGTTCTTTGTAATCACTGAACAATGCATACTGTATATTTTATAATAAATAAAATATTTTGGGCATAACTTTTATATAATAAAAATTGATCAATTGTGGCTAATATTAATTAAAATTAAAACTGTATATAAAATATTATTAATTAAAAACTAAAAAATATTCAACTCAAAAAGACACAAAAAAAATACTAAAAATTCGCAGATTGTACTTTGGAAACAATGTTAACATTATTAACACTTTACACATACTTACACCACGACCGAAAAAACCCTTTTGTAAACCGCTAGTGATGTTATCACTAAGTAATATTATCACATTCTGTCAGTTTACACATGTTTAATAATGAATTTTTCAAAATTACTAATTTTTGAAATTACATTTTCGTTATACCTATTAAATCTAGCTATTTCTTTTATAACCCTCACTTCTTTATCAAAACTGGAGGTATAAGAGAAATTTCTGAACTTAAGATCCTCATAATCTCGAACATTACTTGCACCTATGTAAAAAATTATAAGTAGTAAAAATCTTAATAGTTCTCTTATTATACTTCTTGTAAAATATTTTATAATACTAGGTAGTTTAATAATTCGTCCCAAAATATACGAATAAAACATATTATAATCGAAACAAAAACCTTCTTAATTAACATTCTCAAACTTTAATTAATTGTTAAAAAAAATATCTTATACAAAATAAAAAAATATCATATATTCGCAACCATACGAATGATACGCATACATATTATTTTAACTGTTTAAAT